CCAACAAAGAAGATTAGTAAGCTTATCATGCACTAAAGGCAACCAAAGAAGTCATTATAAAGCAAGTGCTATGTTGAAAGCAACTTAAACTAGCCTAAGTATCAAATCTATGAAAAGTTCTTAAACACCTTCTAAAATCCTAAGAAAAATTATAAGGGAACCTAAACATGTTAAGGACCTATGGGCAAAGGATCATAACCTTAATCTAAAGGGAAGTCACCTAAAGAAATCTTAGATCACAAGGTACCACATAAGAACCCTAAAAAGGAAAGTCTAATGATCCTAATCCAAAACAGAACTTATTGTTGTCTAAAAAATCTAAAAAAAATCATAGGGGATCATGCATCTCTAATATACCAACTAGCAACAAATCAGGCCCAAACTCAATACCAATTGCAAGAACAAAAATCAGCAAAATCATGTATCAAATATGCAAAATTAAAGAAATTAATAAAATGGAGAAAATCAAATTAAATTGAAAATCAGGCAAACATGAAAAGTAAAATCACAGAAAAATCACAAATAAAAGGAGGAGCATGGACATATTTTTGTTTTATTTTTCTGATGAGAAATGGATTTAATATGAATTTTAGAATGATTATGCAATTAAAATAAAAAGAAATGAATTAAAAACAAATAAAATGCTGAAATAAAAGGGGAGCGTTGGATAAGGTGACTGGTCAAGCTGATCTAAGGCCCTTGTAGCGCCACCTCATTAATGAAACGACCGTGTTTCATTTAGTCCATGGCCAAAATTAAATTAAAACGCAACCGTACGATCTGCATACAAAGTCAAGACTCAAGCCAGATCCAAGGGTGGAAACATCATCTTCTTCGTTTGAAAGTCAGTTGGAGGGAAAGTCTGAGGCGGTGGTTCCAACGGCTGCTCAACCTTCTTCTCCGGCGAGCTAACAATTACAGGTCAAGCAAACACAACAAGATCTATATGGATTCACTCAATTTTCCACGCTGATCTCAAATATGCCATCCAAATTAACTGAATCCTCATGAATCTTAAAATTCGAAGCCAAACAGAAATTGTGTCAAGTTCTCAAGCATCATCAATCCTTAATTCAAGACCACAGATCTGTTCCTTATGCTTCACTGATCATCCTAAACAATCTAGATCGTGTGGAAACCTCAAGATCAGGCCAAACCAACTCTCAACAGAAATCACATCTCATCCTAAATTGTCTCTAATCTCTCAATTAATGATCCAAAATCCATCTAAGCAACTTCATAAAGCCTAACCGCATGCTAACATATGCTAAAACACAATGAATCTTCATCAATGTTGAAAATTACATACCTGTGTTAGAGCTTGAAATTGAGGTATCTAGAACACGATTCTCAGCTTCAAATTGTGCAGATCTACTCAATGCTTGATGCTGAAGGCGTTTATAAATTCAATTTGCTTTGAATTGGCCTGAAATTGGAATCACGATTTTCACTTCTCCTCTTGAAACTCCAACTTCAATCTCTGGTTCTAGCACGAATCAATCACCAAAATTGTTCTAAATCATTCACAGAACTTAAATAGAAAGTGTTTGTGGGCTTTTCTTATCCAATGGAGGCCCAAATCCAGAAATCCAATTTTCAAATTTCCTTCAAAAACTCAACCATGGAGTGCACGAATTCTGACTCAAAACTTCCCTTGGAAGCTTCAATTCAACCCCTTGTGGTCTGGTGAGAGTGTCTAGAGTGATTAGAGAGCTTGAATTCATCCCATGATCAAGTTATGATATGTTACTTACTTGTGAAGTTACAAGTCACAACACCATGAATTAGACCTCAAATGAAAAATCCAATAATTCCAAAGTGCTTAGAATGGTTTTTCTGATTAAAATGAGTACCCACTTGCCTTGTTTGAGCACAAAATGAATTAATCTTGAATTTTCATTTAAATGCCTTTAAATTCTCCCTTTTGCCAAATTTCTCAAACCAAGTCTCACCCTAAGCCAAATCAATTTGTCATGGGGACATGGTTGACCTAAAAACATCATTTTGAGCAAGTTTTGTGTTGGACAAAACTTCATTTGAAGCTTGCAAGATAGTGAAAATGACCTATAATGCCAAATGACCTATAATCTTACTTTCCCAAAATACCCCTAACTTGTAAACCTCATAACTTGAGTTCTACAAATCAGATGGAAGACTTATAATACAATTTGGAAATCTAAGATCAATACCTACAACTTTCATGTTGGCCAAAAGTTTAGGAGAAACACCCTTCTAGGTCAAAAGTTCCTTAGAAGTTGGTGAACTTTCACAGACAAATTTCACATTCCTCAGATGACCTGTAACTTGTCTGGACCATAACTTGAGTTCTATAAATCCAATTTAGGACTTCTAGTACTCAAATTAAAGATAAGAGCATGCTCTACAAGTTTCTTTTTAGCAAAAAGTAGAGATGAAACTTGTATCTTGAGATAAGTGGTCTTGAAGTTAGGCACTAAATAGGGGATTTTACCCAGAGAACCCTAATTTAGCAACTCCTCACACTTGGGATTCTTCTTGGATTGATCTTGTAATATCATCTCATATATCTCAACACAACTATCCATGATTACAAAGACTTAGCATTGAGCTTGCATCCTCTTCAATTGCACAGTTGACTTAGGATTATCCAGATGAAAACCCTAATTGCAACACCCTTAATTGTGGCTCTTCATACTTGGCACAATGAATTGTCTGAGCTCCACCATGACCCTCAAGGCACTCTATGAGCTCTATCCACACTCTTATCCATGACTAAGACTCCACAACCCACTGATGATCTTCAATTGGTTATCAGCTTAGGGGATTAACCTCATACAAACAACTGAACTTCTCAAGAACCCAACCCTCTTCCTGATGACTTTGGTGACTTCTCAAGCTTGCATAAGACCTCTAGAAAGGCTCCTCTTGATATAAACCGCACTTGATCTCCTGCACAAATGAACCATGCTATGTTATGCAAATGTTAGATCAATGATATGCCAATGCAATGAAACATAAACCAAGTAAGAAAAGGTTAGGCAAATTTTGGGGTGCAACAACACCCATGTGATTTCCAATGAAGATTAAGACTCTAGCATCATAGTACTCAATGCATAAACTTGAGATACAAACACAAACCACAACTTATTCTATGGCATCACTAGTTGGGTAGAAGTTAGTGTTCTATTTCCTCACTAATAAGTAATGATCATTAATAAGCTAAGGGTCATTCATCAATGTCACATATTGATCTTTCTCATTTATGAATGTTCGTAGATAATACTCTTGATCTAGGTCCACAATACTTAGAACTCCATTTCTTGCCCGCATTTGGTTCAAACGATTCTCTAAAGCTTTGTACCATATTCATCTCCCTAATATCTTCACAATGACTCCCTTCTTCCAAGGCACACAAATTCTTCGTTCCCCCTTCTCCGAAAGTATGATTTCAGGGCATTCATAGTCTCCAAATTGGTGTTCTTTGATCTTTAGTTCCCCAAAAGCATCTACATACTCCATATTTGATGCTTGTTTGTTTAACTCTTCTCTCCCCATAGATGTCTCTCTTGTGACCATTGCCTTATATGTGATGGGCGAACCTCCTTGGTTGATCGACAAAATATTCTTCAAAATCGATTGACTGTATTTCTCCTGTCCATTTTCCATTTCTTTCACTCGTTTTGTACTTTGTGCTTTTTGACCTTCTTAATGTATTTCTCCTGTCTGTTTTCCACTTCTTTCACTCGCTTTGTACTTCGTGCTTTTTGATCTTCTTAATGTATTTCTCCTGTCCATTTTCCACTTATTTCACTCGCTTTGTACTTTGTGCTTTTTGATTTTGCTCATGTATTTCTCCTGTCCATTTTCCACTTCTTTCATTCGCTATATACTTCGTGCTTTTTCATCTTCTTCATCTGTCAGAGTTTGATAACCTTCACTATTTTGTCCTAACAGAACACTCATACTTTCCTTTACTTTAATAATTCTTATTTTAAACCTGTTATAAGCTCGTACTGTTGTGCTTATTGTAAGGAAATTGATTAACGTTGGTAATATATTTCATAATTTTTTTTTGACAATAACGTATTTCATAAATAAATTTGTATAAATGAATATTAAAAAAAAAAAAAAAGAAGAGATATATGGAAAGTTAAATGGGGATATGGATAGTAAACTCCTAGCAGGTAATATGGCTCTTTGATCATAATGATATTAAAAGATTTGGTTCCTCTAAATTGAGAAATTTGTTACATTTTCTAACCATGCATGATTTGTTACACGTGTTTTTATTTGAAGATTTTTCACTTTATTATGTAAAAACAAATTATTTTCATGTTTGAACACTCTTATAGCATCCTCTTTATCTAACCCCTGCGAAAAAATTGTTAAAAATATTTTTTATATTTTCACTTTTTCTTGTTTTGTTTCGTTTAATTAAACATGTTTTAATAATGTCAACAAAAGGGTTTGCTCCATTGTTAAGTAGTTGGCTCATACCCAATAGATTATGGATTCAACTTTTGAGTTGGCTCATACCTAAAAGACCATGAATTTATCTCCTGATATAAGAGATTTCTTTAGTGACATTTGTCCAAATCACTTAAACTTTAATCTAAAAAAAAAAAAAAAACATTTTGAAACAGTCATTTAAATGCAATTTGAATTTGTCCATGATGATGAAATTTCGGATAATATAGTTTGGTCAAGCACGCAAAATAGGTTGCAACGGGACTTACTCCAAATACAAATTAATGAAAATAGATGTGATTCCTTAGAAGAAAATAAACACTAGTTTGAGTGGGGTCGGTCTTACTCCAAATACAAATATAGCCAAAAATCATTGTATAAGGCATGTCGAGCTTTGTTCTAAGCTGTCATTGAGTTGAAGATGTATCCTATGAACCAAAAGTGTCGTTTGCATATTTAATATCTAGAAATATCCGTCCTTTTTGTGTATTTTTTGGTGCTGCAAAAATTTACAGGTTGCTGATATCATTCGATCCCACTGTTATTATATGAAGATGGTGTCACACACTACCATTCCCAGTGCCCGTTCAACGTCGTTGCGCATAATTGGAGCTTTAATTGCGATGACGTTGCTGCTGTGGACCATCAGAAGTGGATATCAAACTGCAACTGAACCTAGGCGCCAATTGTATGGCCAATGGATTTCACTTGTTGGAGTCTTGATTATGCTATTTGGTTTCTTGCTTCTGGCTACTGGGTTACCTATAATTGCAGACTTGTTTCTTGGCTTGTCAGAGGAGCTACAATATTCCGACGAAACTGATCTTCATCAGCATATCGTCGACCTGAAAGTGAAAGTCGATGCTTGTGCCTAGTTTTAGGTTAAAATCACTACAAAAGTTCACAAACGGGCATTTCTCTCCTTTAAAGTTCAATGTTTTAATTATGTGTTAAAGCAGTATATTAGACTTCAGCATTTGCATAGAAAGACACGTAAATCTTTACTTTTTTTCACCTTCTAGACACAGATGTTTATTCTTCAAATCAAGAGTGTGGTTGATGCTTAATGCAAACTCGAGCATAACAATTGTATAACAATTGTTTGCCTGTATTATCTTTTATGGATGACCATAAATTAGATCAAAGTTGCATTGAAAAACCACATCAACTCAAAAGTTCAAAAAATCTATAATACCATGTTTATTGTTGAAATTTTTTCCACTGTTTGAGTTATCTACAACCACATTAATCTATGGGCATAATTTTCTACTATCATTCATACTCTCTCTGGCTTGATATGGCTCAAATGTATGTGTCATTTTCTTGACATTTAGTCCTTATATATTGTCAAATGTGTGTGTGAGTTGCTTCACAAAATTATCAAATGGGTTAATTGGTTAATGTTTTATGGTCAATTGGCACAACCAAATCTGATTCAATCAGTCTTATTATGCGTTGAAATATGAGAGAGAGAAAACTCAATTAATTTGTAGCGAATAAGCTATAGGCTAAATTGAAGACTCAGATGGTTGGGCACCAAATTGAACCTTCAATTCAGCAGCACAAAAAATGAAGTTTTACTCTTTTGGTGAAAGCCGAGCAAAGGCCTGAATGACATTTTACCACAAAACATCCATGAGCAAATGGCTTAGTTAACAAATATGTTGTGTGTGTGAGAGATAGCAATTAAAGAGGTTAAGCGTCACAATTTTTATGAATTACTAAAAGGTAAGGAATTAAGGTAGCATTTCACAACAAAATGAAGGTCTAAACACAGTAATTATTCCAAAAATATTGTTATAAATATTCTACCAAACAGCATTACAGTGCATAGCTTGGCATTGATTTTACACAAGAAGCTATGTCCATTTCATTTATCAAAATTTCCTCCGTAATCAAGTGAAGTATTATTGTAATCTAATCTCTACGCAAACAATTGGTATAGTGTGAGTGGAACCAGATCCAACAGGAATGATTCACTGTTAACTTAAACTTAATAACTGTCTCCCTGAATCATGTGATATATCTTTTAGCAATTTCTAAGAAAATAACCCGGTAAACGACATGAACATTTTAGAAACGTTGGAATACTTTGAAATATAAACAGCAAAGACTATTAGTGCAACTATAATGCAGAGCCAACTAAGGAAGCTATGCTCTGACATGTGCTTGTTTTGGGGCAACTCATTCACTGTTTCTTGTTTGGTGCTCAGCTCCTTGCTGTTCTAATCCTCTGCTCTCTGTATTGGTCTTCTCCTTCATCCTGTTTTGTTCTGTTAATGATCTCAATCTGTCTTCAAGAGATGTTTTTGGGCCTTCTTAAACTTATGACGGAGAATTTGGGTAATGACCTTATAGATTTTGAATTTAAGTTATATTACGCGTTTGTATGCAACTATTTAATATGTAAGTGTGTGTGAAATTGAAATGATTAATCTATACGCATAGTTCAGAACGTTGGATTGTTACACAATTCTGCAAGGCAACAGTGCAACTCTAACCAAAATTTGACAACATTATAACGAAAGCAGTTTGTTCAATTTTGCTACACTACAACCGTATAGCACCACCATAGCTGCTATTCAACAACACATAATATATGTTAACTTGGCAATGGTCTTATATAGAATCACAATTTTAATCAAAGATGGGCTTATATAGAATCTTGATTTTAATAAAAGAAACAACAATGTTGCTCGGCTAATGCGAAACTATGCTCTCGGACATGCTTGTTCTTATGTCCAACCCCCACTACTAATTCTTTGTTTTTATACAACTCCCTAACGATTTTACATAGTTAAGAGAAAATTACATTATCTAAAAATATGAATTTTTTTGTTTTCAACCCCTCTCAGTGACGGGGAATCGAACAGTAATCCTCCCTACCAAATCTAGTGTCATTCATCATTGGACCAATTAACCATATGAATTGAAAACCTAAATAAGTACATAACTTATGATCCCAACCAAATTTCTCATCAAATCTACTTAAATTGTTGTTTCAAATGCTTCATAACAAGCAGAGAATTATGCAGAGACAATCAATGTGAAGCAGAGAATTAAAAATTCTATTGAAATTCGAAATAGAAAATGGAAATGAAAGTACAATAATCGCTCACACCACAAAACCCTAAAAAATTGGAATAGTACATTTGTAACGCAAACAGAGTAGTTAGAATGGAATCTAATCGAAGATAATCAAATGAGCTTGAAAGGAAGAGGCCAAGGAGTAGACCTGGGAACTTCCACCTTATCTTTCATACGCTCGATCATTTGTTCTCTCTTCGGACGAGATTTCCCATACGATCCCTTGAATCTCTTCCCTTTCTTCGTCTTTTTATCACCACGACCGCACAATATCGGAGCTGCTACGCCGGAACAAGCAGACGGCGTTTCCGTCGAGGACGCTCTTATCAACCACCTCGCAGCGACGGTGCACCGCTGCATCACACTAGCACCGCTCGCCATAGACACTTCTCTTCTTTGCTCTTAGCTGCTCGCGCTTCGGTTCATGCACATCACGCAACAGTTACACATTATACTGGATTATGGGCTGGGCCAGGCCCATTATTTAAATGTTAATATTTTGTTAATATGTCTTTTGCTAAATATACCCCTAAATCATTTAACTCTATTTTTACTGCTTTTTCTTAAAGTACGTTTAAAAATATTTTTATTTCATGTTGGTTATTTTTAAAAGTAAATGATATTTTTTTCCCCTTAATTAAAAAAACTCATGTTGGTCCATGAATTTTTCAAAACGTATTATTTTAGTCTTTTTGTCTTATTAATAATGGAAAAATTCTGAAATTCATCCTAAACGTGTGTATTATGATCAATACTTGAATTATTCTATGATTTAACTATTTCAGAGTTTAGGATATTACAATAAACCTTATCAAAAACTTGATATTCACTCTCAGGCTAAACACATTGAATTTAGGCACCAGTTTATTTGAGATTTTGTTAAGGGGAATGCATACTTAAGTTTGTGACGTCATATAATCAACTCGTAGACATTTTTACAAAACTGTTTCCTAAAAAAAACTTCTTTTTCACAAGAACTGAACTAGGAATCTTAAATCAATCATGCATAAATTAATATACTTATGTTCCTCTTCTCCTTTGTATTATTCACTTTCTCTAAATGATGACATGTGATATATATGTTTTATTTGTTTTCCGCCTTTTTTATTATGCCAGAGGGGGAGAATTATATTCTTATGGCGAGTTGAGTATACTTTCTACTCATGTGATGGGAAATTTAACCACTTCATGCTATATTTATTTATTTTCTCTTTTACCACCTCCTTGAGAGATGTGTTATCATCGATAAAAAATAAGAGCGTATGAGTTTATGTACTTGCAGGTATGAAGTTGAAGATCTATATGCTGCAATACTCTTGATGTTTTGATGACAAAAACGTTGATGAATGTTAAAGTCGGTGGTGATATATTTCTAACTCTTTGATTAAGGTGATTAAGTTGAATATATCTCAAGCCTTATCAAGTAGAAGATACAAGATTTTGGTGAAGTTCTTATATGATCGGTATATCTAGAAAAGGAACTTGAAAATTTCAAAGTTGTAAAAGAGAGGAAGTGTGAAACCTCGCCTAGTCGTGTATGTATGAGTGACCAGAGTCTTATGAAAGTACGAAAGTAACTCCTAAGATATTAAGGCAAATCACACACACACACACTTAAAATACTTTTAAAACCTATCCTTAGTTAATAAAATCACCTAAACATGTTTTTAAGGCCTAACTAGTTGATTAGGGGGTTGTTTGCTTGATTGCAAAAAAGTTTTAAACTTTCTAATTGATTAGATGATACCTAATTGAGTATATAATTAGGGATGACAAAAAAACTTGTACCCATGGGCAAAATCCGTCACAGACATGGGTTGAATAACTTAATGGGTATCTACGGGTAAAATAAACATATATTTAATTACCTGTTTCCTTATGGCACAAATACAAATTTGATGGTACACATACACGTGGGTATCCGTATCCATTAATAATTAAAAAATTACTTAAATATCCTTTAAAATTATTATACTTGATAAATTTCTTTCACTAATAGTCACTTAATTTAACTTGGTAATCTCTTTTTCACTTAAAACCCTAATTGTGTACGTTTTTCTTCCGCGTCTTCTTCTTGCCTCGTGTCGTTTTCAAAAGTTATATACATAATTTTATATTTACATCATATAAGAAAAATTAGTAATTTTATATCTCAAAACTCGCGAATACTCATATGGATATAGGGCGGGTACGAGTATCATATTTATTAAAAATGGCAGGAAATAAGGGACTAGTACCTGTGCCCATGGATACCCATTGTTATCTCTATCTATAATCGATTATGACATTCTCGTAATGAATGAAAACAAATTTGTATCAAAATCTTCTATTTAGGACACAATAATATTTGATTAGCCTAATCGATTAAGCCATTATTTCAGCCCATGGATTGTTTCAATTTTGATCCAAAATTTTCGTTATATAAATGAGTCTTCTCCTCACTTCATTACATACCGGAATTAAAAACTTTTCTAATTATTTACAATTTATCTCTCTTTAAATATTTCCTTTCACCAAAGTTGATTTAGTGGCTTGTGAGTGAAGACAACTTGTGAAGAAAGAGTTGTATTGACGTCGTGCCACTGTTATTATTTTAAAGAGTGCGACACCCTTGAAGAACTGAGTTTGATTTTCGAGATCAACTATTAAAAATCTATGTATTGGTTCTAGAACTCAGTTTGCAAAAGTTCTATTCGGTTATTAAGATCAGCCGATGAAATCACTATTCGGTTTGTGAGTTCATTCCATGAAAAAACTCTCTTTTGATTAGGGGTATAAGCCCGTGTAAAATCTATTGATTCATTTGTATTAAAGGTTCATGAGCATAATCTGTAAAAGTTTAATATTATAGAGAAATATCAAGAAGGCCTCTTAGGGACAAGACTAAGCTTATGTTCGACTGAACCTGGACAATCTTCTAGTGCTATCTTTTTAACACTGCTCCATTTAGTCACAATTATAAACGAAAATAACTATTTTCACATTGATTAAGAAAATTAATTAAGTGTAATTAATTTTCTTAATTTCACATACAATCAAAGTAATTTTTTTAATCATGTCACTAGTTATATTTAATGAATCAACTATCATCATTAAATACTTTTGAATTAAATCAAATGTTTAATAATAATACAAGCATTAATTAATTTAAAAGTTAATTACTTTTGCTCATAATAGTGACCAATATTTAAAGTCCTTTTTTTTATATGACCGGAGGGAATACATCCATAAATTCTGCTATGTATTTTTATGACTTATTTTCTTTTCACTACTTTTCTTTCCGATCTTTGTTAATAAATACTAACACAATTTGTTTTTTAAGTAATCAATTTTTTATACTAACACAAGTTACTTTTTAAGTAATAAATTTTTTTAATTAATCATAAATTTTAAATACCACAATTCATTCCATCCTCTTGTGCTTGAAATCACTTGTCCAAGAGACCTTTCCATCTTAAAATTTTTAAATAATAGATATTTTTCTATAAAACTAATATATCAAGCTTTGTTGGTTAATAGTTATAACATGAATCCTTCTTCAAATTTCAAATTCAAACTCACTTGAAAGTTGAAAAATCCTCATAAAATCTAAAGTTTCTTTTATAAGTTGTTCCATGAAAAGTTTTTTACTAATGCCAAAAAGAAGCATTGTGGCATAACAAACATAGTTTTTTTTTTATTGCACCATTACACAATCTTTAAAGATTGTAACACAACTAAATATTTTTGAAATAAGTTTATTATATAAATGATAATTGAATTACTTTCTTTATTCTTAAATTATCACAATGTTGACTTCAATCCTTAATTATCTTTAATAGATACTAATAAAAGAACCAACCCATTCTATTTGATATTTTGACAAATTTGTCGTGGCAATATAGAAATCAACTAGTTGACTTAGAGACTTTTCTTAATATTGAGAAGTGTATAATATGTAGATGCACCTACATGATATTCATCTTCATCTTTTTATTCATCCACTCTTTTATGTCGAGCAAAAGACATAAAGTTATACGAAATAAGAACCTTTAGAGAGTCTCATCAGGGACTCTAAGAAAATTGATGTTAATGTTTTTTCTTGTAACTTTGATCGATCAACTTCCGTTTTAGCTTATCTAGAGCATAGTCCATGGTTTGAGAACGACGAGTAGTTTATGTTTTTCTTCATTGTTTTTCGAGAAGAATCCTTTTATTGTAGTTGATATGATCATCTCTCAAAAAACTCAAAATCTCCACCTGTTTCCCTGTTTTATTGAATCTTTATCTCATGGATCAATTACATTGGAGATGCGAGATCAACTACATTGAAAACGCGTGATCAAACATATTTACCAAAAAAAAATTAACAGTCATAGAACACTTTAAGAATACCAAGTAAAATGATGAGTTTGATTTGATAGAGTTTAAGAGCAGCATTATCGCCTGCTTTTCATACGTTACTACACATAAATCAAGGCCATAATGTAAGAATAAATGAACAATTGAATAAAGAAAATGTATCTACGTTTGCAAACATTCACCAATTTAAGAACGTTATTTAAGTGTCACGTGTGTAGTTACAACAAAACAAAAGCTTTGCAATGAAGGCAACTACTAAATTATATTTTCATATAATATAATAAATTGTGATATATTGTGAACTTGATGTGACCCATTTAAAATTCTGAGAGTTGTATGAATATTTGAAAAATGTAGTTAGTTGTTTAAAAATTTTGAAAGTATAATATAAAAAATTGAGTAAGACCTTTTTAAAGAATTCAAATGGCTATGATGGATATGAATGTGTCCTAGAAGTTTTTTTTTATCCTCTGGTTTTTAAGAGAAAGGAGCTCTAGTAATCCAGAGTTCGGCCTAAAAGGTCATAAGCCCGGTCGTATTCCTCAAATCTTCGTTTCTTAACAGGAGTTCGTTTACCACTCGAGCTTAAGTGTTTGGTTAGGTCATAGTGCTTTTTTAATAATGTTGGAGTTGATGAAGAAATATTTTTCTCTTTCAATTTCATTATCGTTTTTAAATTTCTTTTTGTCTTAAATAGTCTGTTGGTCCCTGTAAGTTAGCGAGTTTTTGAGTTTGGTCTCTATAATTTATTTATTTTTGTCTGAGTCTCTATATCTCACTTTTACGTGTGGTTTAATTCTTAAAGCTAAAATCCGCAGATTTTTCTATAAATTTTAGCTTTAAAAATTAAAAAATCCGCAAAAATTGAGATATGAGAATTCAAACAAAAAAAATCAGAGAGACTATATTCAAAAATTATAACTTATCAGAACCAAAACTGCATTTAAACTTTTCCCTTTTAATAAAATAACTAGTCGAAGACCCATGCGTCCACACGGGTAGATTTATTTTATATAATATACATAATTTTTTGATATATA